ACATGACTTGGCTCCATGCCACAATTCGAAATTTGTCAGAAAGTTCAGCTGGAAAACAAAATTATCGGGTTAGAGTGGCCTGGAAATTCACCAGACTTTTATACTATCGAAAACTTGTGGCGCATTCTCAAGGAACACTCTATGAAAATTGTTTGTATGACAAAAGAGCGCATTTTTAAGAACGCCATAAAAATTTGTTTCCATGATAAAGAAGTAAAACATATATTGTTACGAAATATCCAGGCGCGGTAAGGTAGCTTCCCCGCAAAGCAGTTTTAGAGTTGCCAGAAAATGACAAGGGAAGGCAGGGTTGCTTGCCACATTTGGTGAGAAATCGCTCATTTGGCGATATGCCATAGACGGATGGAGAACCTCCTGGAACGAATTCTTACTGGTTTAGCCCAAAATGTTCTCAAGCCAAAAGCTATATAAATCCTGCTGGTACGCGGAAAGTTAGTCAGTGCGGAATCCATCGAGTTGATAGTCAGTCAGAGAGCGAGTGTCTCGTAGTCTAGCGCCGAGTTGGTCGTTGAGTGCATCGAGAGAGTCTCTTAGTGTATTGCGAGTTAGTGCATCGTCGAGTTTTATCTTAGAGTGGGTTGAGCTCTGAAAGCGACCAAACCGAGTCGGGAGCTGTACTCTGGTGTATCGTCGAGTACATCGCGAGTTGTAGCGTGGAGAGTCTACAGAGTACGTAGAGTTCCAAGAATGACCGAGCAGAGTATAGGGAGATGTTCTCTGGTGCTTTGCCGTGGAGTTGTCTTCACCGTTACGGCCTGATAACCTGAAAGCTGTGTCGCTGATTGTTCCACCGTGTTTACAGTAGATCTTCGACGACTGTAAAACGTGATTTTGGAGCTGTCTTGAATAATACTGGCCAATAAAGTGTGTTTCGATACTTCATCAAGTGCTGTCGTCGTTATTCACTCCAATTCTCCGAGCCCCTTACATACCCTAACGTGAAGAAAAATACGTAACAATATGCGTAAGAATAGTAAGTCGATGCCTATGCGCATCCTAGAGGTAATTTCTTCTAAAGGAGGGCATAGTTCCTATTATTTTTAATATTACCACTTTATATGAATTTATGCACATAGATTAATAGAAACATCGCTTTGTTAATATTAAATTTGCACATTATAGTACATTTTATTGAAGGCACCCTTAATATTAGGGAGACAATTTTCACGTGCTTTACCATACGTCATCAAATATCCTTCTTTGCTAGTACATATGTATTAGCGCAGCCACCTTAGCTGAAGTCATTAAATTGTCAGACTATGCCAAACACTGGCAACTATGTGCATAACAATTATTGAGTTTTCAACAAGGAATGTCCCCATTTTCGTTTGCGCTCTTTTTGTTGTACTTGAAGTTCCAAAGTATTTTATACACAAATGATAATTTTTGGTTCAAAATTAATTTTAAAGTATGCGCTTGTGGGGTTTGCATGCAGTGAAAGATAATGCGGTATCTACAGGATTACAGCATTTTGGCGCATATCGTTAAAGATAGCAATTGCTCTGAATTTATTAAGACTTTAACTAGAACAAAGATTACCAAGAAATTTCTACCGAAACAAAAGAAATAAAATCCGTCGGTTCATTGGATCATTTTCCGGATAATTAACTAATTTAAGCGTAAAATTTCACTCTATGTATGAATGTAACAAATAATTTTCTAAATTACAAATCATATTTTTTTTCTTTTGTGAAAAATCGCCAAATTGTGCCAAGATTGTTGTTGTGCTAATACGTAAATATTCATCTGCCTTTAATCAGCAAATAACGATGTGAGCGAATATAAAATCGAGTTCTTTCCAAAATAGGGTACCCCTTGGAGACATTCAACGATTTTCAAAAAGCTAATATGCACCATACGCAGAAACAATTTTGAAATTAGCAATTCCATGAAGAAGCAACACATTAATTAAATTTCAAATCCAAGAAACAGTAATTAAGAATGAAAGAAGTATAAATTAGTTTAATAAATATATTTAGTAATATCTACATATAATAAAAGAAAGAGTCTGTCTGTGTCTTTCATTCGTGCAACGCGTAAGCTAAATAGACCCAGGGCTGCGAAATTTGGTACAAAGTTGCATCTAGACAAGAGCCAGTGCAGCTCGAAGCAATTTTTTCAAAATTCGAATCAGATTTTTTTATTTTATCTTTTTTGATGACATCGCATTATTTGAATAGTTTCATTCTTTTGTAAATTTGGTTTTGGCTTTTCATTTAATGCTTTGTATACTGGACTGCTGACTGTTGAAAATCAGCACTTTTGGCACTTGGAAAAATGAGGGCGATAATTCTGTGCAGTTTTTAAATTTAATGTTTGATGTTCCTTTCAGCTATTTTTCCGGTACATTTAAAAGCCAGACGAAAGGCTGGCCGCGTAGCGGCTAGTAATAAAATATATTTCATTTTTTCCCTAAATGTCGACAATGGCACATGCAAATAATATCAGATAACAGCACCGTTTCAGAAGGTAAAAAAAAACTGCTACTTAATACTTCTGTGCTGTCACATTAAAGTTAAAAAATAGATCAGATTAAGAAATTTAAAAAAAAATTGTTTAATAACTATTGAAAATCCCATATTCAAGCATTTTAAAAGAGTATCCACCGATTTAAACAGAATATTTTAAATAATCTTTTAATTTTGCTCCAAGCACATGCTTGAATCTAAGTATGTGCGGATCTTTGAATATATGTATAACCATTAAGCTCCCGATTCTTTAACTAATCGAATAATGCTTTAAATTAAAATGGCAAAGCTACGTATCTATGTCCTATATAACGCTCAAACCCTTGTTTTAATCCCCAATGATCTGTCTCGAATAATTTTTTCGATGCGTTAATACTGATGTTAACTCTCGTCGAGACGCACGGGGGAGATAACTATTTTTTTTTTTTTTTTTTTTTTTTTTTTATTCGTAAATGTTGAAGTTATCTAGGCGAGCGCATAGAGAAAATTTTTTTTAATTCTTAATTATTTTATATATATATATATATATATATAGAATAGATAGATAGATATAGATAACAAAAGATTGAAAACAGAAAATTTTGAGCGTTAAATAAATGGTATTATTGAAGTTCTCTTTCGAGTGCTTTTGTTTACTAAGTAAGAAAGTACACAATTATTATTTTTGGAATACTGCCAACTGCAGCTATCTATCTCCACGGCCCACGTATGTTTTCCTCATCGGCATATTTTTTAAATTCACATTTTTTTTTTTCGCCTTTCTGAATAGTATTAACCAATATGCTGATGTCACTGCTAACGCTAGGAGTAATAATTAAAGTAAACAATAACTAAAGTAAGCAACTCGTGTCTTAAAGCTCATTCATTTCATAATATCTTAAAATTAATATTAAAATAGTTCGCAGAATACAAATCATAAAACTAGATAATAATAACAATAAGGTTTATAACATCCTATTATTGAAAGAGTGACTATTATTGAAATCTTAGAATTCCCAGCTTTAAATACATAAAAATAAAATCTTGTCTGTTTAAAATAAACGTTAAAATTTAAAATTCCATTTTAAATTGCTTTACGAATCGTTGCCATCCATACCTTCAAAACAAAGAATACTTAAACATTTTGATATTTTTCAATGTTTTCCGATACTGAACTAGAGCCAGCAGTTCGTATAAACACTTTGTGAATAAACATGTGAGAAAAGAAAGAAAAAAAAATTAAATAAATAAAAAACAATTTCAGATTTTACATTACGGCCAAAATTTTAATGTTTTGTGTGCTGCCTTTATTTATTAGATATCATGTTCTTCGCACTTAAACCATAAAATTCAATTTTCAATTCAACAGCAATATCGCAAAATAATTTTAAAATGAACATATTTTTAGAATTTCCGATACACAGTCTCGCACACTAGGAGATAATTTTTTTTTTTTTATCCCTCTGTACAGTATTGCCATTGCTCGCTTTGAAATCGTTGAGTTTGTTAATCAAAAATTCGTTAAAGTGTTACAATATATGAAATCGATAATAAAACAAATTTCAAATTCGGGCTTCCAGATGACCATATTCGGTGGAAGATATGTTATGCAGAGTGTGATGGCTCTAGTTACCGCTGTTTTTTCACAGTGCGAGAATCATACATATATTTATGCAGATTATTCATTATTTAATTTCTTTAAACAACATATAGGACGATAATATTTGGTGGCAATAATTTGAAAAGCGAACCGACATTTAAAGTGAACCAACGCAAAGTGCCAAAACGAAATTAATAGCCCTTCTGGGATAACGCCCTTTGGGTTAATAAAAAAAATAAATAAATATACAAAAATTTGGAACCTTTTTTACAACTGAAAGTAGTAATAAATTTTACAAGTGAAGATATTCGGAGCAAACCATTTGAATACTATTCGAATAATCCCAAATATAAATGCATCCCAAATATAAACAGTATCCCAATTTGCATCCCCCCCCCCAAAAAAAAAAAGTATAGCGAATATAAAAACAAAATTGAATGAAACTTAAATACTCTGTAAATATGAGTAATAATCAGCTGACTTGCCTCCATGCCATACACATTCACCTTTTCTAATATGCGATAACCATTCCTTAAATAATTTACAACACGTAGCAAGAAATGTTATACATTTCTTTCTGAAAAATAATTTGTACTTTTCAGTGTATTTATGCAGTATTCAACTGATGAAGCACTGAACGTTTACAAAATAAATATCCATTTTCGAGTTTAATTTTTAAACAAGTGGAAAAAATTCTATGATATAAGGAAGTAAGTGTGACAATTTCATTCGCCATCTGTAGCTAATCTTTATTCAAACTCTATCTCAAACGTAATATTATAATAACTAAAATTAAAAATATTTTTTTCATTGGATTCGAGGACTTCAGGTAATAAATTCATCCTTAATTACGTATTTATCACCTTAATTACTCATTTATCACCTGATACGACATTTATGTGCTAAAAATTAGTTTGATTAATGCAACTTACCAGAATTCCTCCTTTCAGCTGTCGGTCCAGCTGCATATTCATTTCTGCAAATATTAACGAATATTTTCTTCCCATTTGTAACAAATTTCATGACGTACCATGGTTCCGGATGTAAAAATTTTACATCGAATCCTCTCTCTTTTTCCATAGCTATAATCTCTTCTTCATAATTTTTTCGACTCTCTTTACTATTAATATCTTCAACATAATCTTGGAACAGTTTCAGAAATTTTTTGTCTTGAAAAGCATCCCTTAACCGGGATGCTTCTTCCGAAGTCAGTTTTATATCTTCCAAATCATTGAGATCGTCAGCCATGTTGTTAGAACTTTCAAGAAAGTGGTTGCTATGACTACGGTAAGGTGCCATTATATAGACAAAAAAACTACAGCGGATTATCAATTTCAGATCTGAATTGTATCTGGAATGGAAAATCAATCTCAAACCTGAATTTTATTTCAGATTTTAAAGTTTTTTAAGTATGCAATTCAGTTTAGGACATTATTATTTTAAGTAATATTACATTGTTATGCTCGTAATCTAGTAACGAATTTAGTAATTTTTGTAAATTTTAACTTGATCTGCTCTTTGTACTTAATCTCTTAAATTCAATGAAACGTTTATATTCCGCTATTATTCGTTTATATACACACATATGTATATATTACATAAACAGTCATCATATAAATTAATAATTAAAAATTTTGTATTATCATGGGATTGATAGTCTTCATTTTCGAGACATGCATAATACAAATTATACTAAAAAATATTAGGGGAAACAATTGCAATCGAAAATCTTCAGATTACAGCCTAAAAGAAAAGATTTCCATTTAAGTGATTAGAAATAAATTTACAAATATCAAAAATCGTACAAAAGTTCCACACTCTTCTGAAGTACTTTTTACTTTTTTTTGACACATAATATGAATTTAAAAATCGAATAAACTATTGCACTAAAGAACTTTGCCTTGAATTTAATAAAAGATAATCAAAGATAAACATATTTTAACTATTTGAATATTATTAACATAAAAAACTTCCAACAAATCATAATTTTTGATAAACGAAGACATTTTGAATTCAGTACCAACGAACTTATGCACTAGCAATCCAACATTTCTACTTGATTAACATCATAATTAACCAAATAAACAGATCGAAAATATTTGCACAGAAATTTTAAAAAAGAATTACATATTCACTTCAAGGCAAACAAGTACCATTTCATCTTAATAAAAACACTTTCAAAAGCTTGATATTAATTAATTACACACATTAAAATATAGATTGCATATAAAGCTCTAACTGAAGCCGAAAGGAGGCTATATGCAGATGGTTTGTTTCATGTGATTACGGCAAAGCCTCGAGCAAAAACAATATCCGATAAAAGCACACCACTCAAAAATTACCTATATAATAATAAAATGTAAAACTATTAAAAGAATAACCGTTCATTCAATCGCAGCAGCTTTCACTACATCTTGTATTTGTTAGACAGCAGAACTTGAAACCTTCTTTGATCTACTAAATCCACTGAATTTTGAAGAAGAATTGGTTGTTGCTCCACAAGCACTCACAATCGCAAATCTTCTTATTTTAATGAAATATTCTTGGCATATTCCCACAAAATACATCCAGAGGTAAGACAGATCTTTAAAAGAATTCTGCAGTGTTGGGCAAGATGGCAGAATGCTAAAAGGAACATGTTGGAACTCAAGTTTATATTAATTAAGGTATTTTCTGATTATTTGCGCCTCCAATGAAAAGTCGCGAACTCTTTCGCGACTTTGGAGAGCATTCGCACATTTGTTGACGACTCATTGCCTGAAGAGAAATGTTTGGGTAACTTTACGTCTATTTCAAAGATGCATCCAGTGCCGCCTATTTTTGAATACATCTTTTTCCATAAAAGACATGTACACTCCTCGGTTTTCTGCACTGTTGTTCCTCCCATAAACACAACGATCTGTATTCGCTTTTAGAAAAGAAGAGGTAGACAGAGAGGGAATGACACAAACTCGGCATGGCGCAGAACCTCAACACCAAAACCTAAATTGAGAAGGAAAAAAGGAATTTTTAAGCAACACATATTACGGCTCTATGCGTGCAGAAAATCAAGCCAAAAATTTCGCCGAAGACGAAGAAAACTGCAGGATGCGATTCACAGCCAGACTAAAACGCTAAAATTCGCGTAAGATGACCTGAAGTCGCACTAGCGAGAATACCTGGAGAAGAGTAGCGTCTCGCCTTTGCATATTTTATGCTTCGCTGGCGTAATTGACTGGTGTCTGCTCTACACTATTGGCTTTGTATCATGAGACTGGCGATTGATGACACTGTGGGAGAGGAGGAAATTAACAAGCTACAAATTTCGTAAAATAAATCATTTCATCTTATTACTAACGCCCTAAAGTTTTAGATGTAGAAGTATTTCCTTCTTCATTTTAGGAGTCTTCAATTTTATCTCACATTTTTTTCATGTAATCGTTAACACAGTGGATAGCGCTTGGTCCCGTCAGATCGACGGTTGGAGCCCATCTGATGGCATTTTCAGTTTTCATCCCGCCGCTCATAAATAGTCAGTTTTGAATCATTCATCAATAATTATATTTTTCCTGCAGCTGTGTCTCTACAATTAATTTTTCATGAGTTGAAATATGAAAAGTTCTGACACAAAGCACAAGCTTAACTCAGTGTCCTTATTCAGGTATCTGAACTTTTCTCCCACGTCCTATGGATCTAAGATTTATCTCTGATCATATATGTATTTAGAAGCACCTTATTTTATTTCCTCAAAATATTTTTTCTATTCTGCAACAATGTTTAATTTGTTCCGCATCCTGAAGTGGCTAGTGTAAATTCCAGTCCTGCCAACTCTAAATGAAACAGAATTTCCAAAAAATGAAATAAATTTTGAAAAAAGGACTTTTATGATAACAGTAAATATGGGGTGAAATGTCAAACAAGAATACATTAGGAAACAAATGAGAAATAAGGTTCAGTTAATTAATTATCGAACATTACAGAAACCTATAGTATTGTAACAGAAACCTATAGTATATACCTAAGCAATTGAAAAACATAAACATGGAGAAAAAATAATAAAGTCTATTTTCGCATTTGCTTTTTTGAAGTCCCTAGTAAATCAATTTCCGCATATCTGGGCTTATTTGAATAACAAATTAATAACTCTTAATCCAAACAGTACTATTTTTCTTTCGGCCTATGAATGCTGTTTAAAAATGCTCTTGTCATAAACATAGCACACACATTCCTCAGCAGTTGACTATGCGTGGTTCAAATCTGTATTTGTGGCCAAGCAATGATAGTTACCATGCTGAACAAATGTGTATTGCGCATGTCTGAAGCATAAGTTATGCTAAGGCCAGACGCTACTCGAGAAGTGGAAAGCCGTTTACGCAAAGAATGTGCATGTTAAAAACGAAAGCTACGCCGAAGCAAAAGTGGCTCCGTCAGACCGCAGAGGAGAAAATATGCTATGCTACTAGTTTACATTACAGGAGCTATACGTCCAGCTGTAATACTTTTTTGCGCATGCGCGAAATAGCTGTCGAACCTTCGTCGAAGCATATACAGCCTTAATACCTTTTTGCGAAATAGTTGTCGAAGGTTTGAACCATCGACAACTGTTTACAACATGTCACGAGTTCAAAGTTCTGGGACACCATTTTCTCCCACCATATCGACGTATATCAAGTCAGAAATCCCCACAAGTTAATTAATGAATAAGTTACTTGATTTTAAAAAAAAATCTACGAAAACCGGAGTTTTTAAGGTACGAAAACCCGAGTTTATCGCGAAAAGTTTTGTCGAAGAACGAATCCTGTAAGTTCTTTGGTTTTGTACCGTATTCTTCAATTTCCTGAACACCTGGCGATTTGGTGACGATAACAACGATTTAGCAACACATTGGTCAAAGTGGTTTACATTACGTTTATGGAAGCTTTCCTTTTTTTAAATACACATTCTTTGGTTTAGGGAAATGGCGCATCCGTAGGTTACCTCATTAATACGTTTCCGCGACATCATGGTTGCCACAAAAATCCTTTTTGGTGACGTAGTACATTGCCTCACCAGAACACTAGATCCGCGGAGCGTGTCAATTTGACCCAAACCGATGTTTAATTTGTCACCACGCGATAAGTATTAGTTGAAAAAAAAAAATTCCTTTTATGACTTTTAATAATTTAAGATAAACAGTAACTTACCGAATTAAAAAAAGGTCTAATATGAGTAAATTTCTGATTATTAACACTTATACCTAGAACCACGAAGCGGGTTAGTTTGATCCGTAAGGAATATTTATGCCTAAATGACGAAAAACAGATGCATTTTCTCGACAGTAAAGTATATCTGCCTCACCCTAAAATTCCTCAAATAAGATCAGGAATAGTGTAGGTTTTCAATCAAGGTCATAATGTTTAGTTCGCATGCAGAGGTTATGACGTCGTCCAGGACTGTTAAACGCTGTTCAGGAAACTTTGAAATATTTACAACAATTATCTGAAAATAATTCAGAAGATGATCATAATGATGACAGTGTTTCGATTTTGAATAATGAGGATGAATACCTGCCTGCTAATGAAGAAAATTCGAATTCAGATGAAGAAAATGAAAGTAACTCTGGCAGTTCCCCAACAACCGCTGGACTTTCTCATTGCAATAATGAGGATAATGTATCAGATAAAAAATAAAAAATTCTAAAAAAAGACGCATGCACTCAAGGAAATCCAAAAAAGAAATCAGCAGTAACATTCAAAGTTGGAAATAATGAGTTGGCAAAGATGGGGCAGTTTGAAAAGATCTACAATTAGGAACAAAAGATAAAGGAAGAAAATCAAAGCAAAATATTTTGAAGGAAGTTGGGGGTCCAACACCACATGCTAAACGCAATGCTATAGACAACAGTCCGTCAAGTGCCTGGCGACTTTTCATAGGTGAATGGTTATTGAAGCATATATAGGAATGCACTGAAGATAAAGCTCACAGACATATTCATGAAAATAAAAGGAATACAACAGTAGAAGAAATGGATGCTTTTATAGCAATATACACATGATATTTGTTGGGCAAAAGGACTTAAACTGGATGGATTGTGGTCAATGAACCGGAGACCGTCTTTTTTAAGAAATACAATGTCAAGAGACAAATTTCGTGAAATAATGAGATTCTTAGGCTTCGATATAAAATCAACTAGATCAAATCGTCTAGAGACAGACACATCTGCCCTTATCTCTGTCATTTGGAATCGTTTCATTGAAAATTGCCAGACTAACCACACACCAGGCCCTTAC